TAAGTGCTTTATCATTAATCCTCAAAAATATGGAAAAACAAAACAAAAAACCCCAACCCTGTCTTGGTTAATAGAAATAAAAAGAAATGCATCCAGTCAAACTACAAGTAGTGAACAAAATAAAGTATCTCATTCATTTAATAAAAACTTACTATTTACTGGTGTGCCAAGCAGCACGCTGGATACGATGGAGTGAGAATAAGACAGTTCCTGTCCTCGGAACTTTTGAGTCCAGCATAGGGTCAGGTATCTGCAACATATTGGATGGATAAACTAGTATGCTTGGTCACATTAGTGACACCACACCACATCTAGGAATACATCCCAGTAACCAAGTAAGCCATGGACAGTAGGCACAGTATGGTGTTAATGAATCTGCACTCCTGATCCAGGTTTTATCTCCCCAGTTACAGCTTGAATCTTTTATCATCACAACTTGCCTTCCTTTTACTAGTCATTCCCAAAGTAATCGCATTCAGCTCCACATGCTGGGATTTCTGGACTACTAGCTCCAAAGGAATTCTTAAGTAGAATCAGAGTTTAGGAATAGTGAGTAGAATCAGACATGGGTCCTTCATTTTTGAATGTATACATGGGGTGTGTACATACACATATATATCTATATATGTACACACTATATATATACACACCCCCACAAACACCTGTACACACACACATATATATTTCAGAATACCAGAAATCTATTTAAATTATATTCAATAGATTATAAGATTATATATACATATACCCCTATTACACTTAGATTAATTTTTAGCCAGAAAAAAACTATACATAGCTTTTTTTTTTTTTTTTTTTTTTCTTTCTCTGTCGTCCAGGCTGGAATGCAATGGCGTGATCCCGGCTCACTGTAACCTCTGCCTTGGAGATTCAAGCGATTTTTCTGCCTCAGCCTCCCAAGTATCTGGGACTATAGACGCCTGCTGCCATATCCAGCTAATTTTTGTATTTTTAGTAGACATGGGGTTTCACCATGTTGGTCAGGCTGGTTTTGAACTCCTGATCTCAAATGATCCACCCAGCCTGGCCTCCTGAAGTGCTGGGATTACTAGCATAAGCCACTACACCTGGCCAAAACTACATATAATATAGCTTTAATACATACTTAGAATATGTATTAAAGCATGCCCAGAGCATACATATTATATATAGTTTTTATCTGGTTAAAAAATAATCCAAGTGCAATAAACGAGGTGCTGTGAGGATAGGGAAAGGCAGGGCAGTGAGCTGCAGCAGGACAGGGAAGGTCAGTATCTACTGTAGACTGCATGGGAGCTCTGGCGGCTCAGTGGGAGGAGCTGCAACTCTCTAAGCAGGACCTGACAGCCAGAGAGAAGTGAGCAAACAACAGGTGGTAGTCCAGGAGCGCAGTGGGGATCAGGACGCCCAGCCTGAGGTAATGGGGGAAGGGAGGCCCAACAGATAGGTAGAATACAGACACAGAGTCTAGAAACAGAGCTGAACTCAGGTAAGTGCTGCCACCAAGAATACCTACAACTGCCCAGCAGAGTCTGGGTGCAGGGATGCAGCTGAATCCTAATAACAAGTAGAGAAATTCGAGGTCCTGGCAAGGTAACAGGTCAGGGTTTCAGACACAAAAGAAGGGCTGTCAGTTCTTAGAAAGGAGCCAGGCAGTGAGAGACTGAGTCTTGAGCTTGGGACTGAAGCTCTGAGAATTCTTCCTGACCCAGGAAAGATCAGGTTCTATGGTAAAGGGTGTATAGATAGTAGGGGAAGGAGGAATACAGAGGTCATGGACTAGGTAGAGCCAAGTGAGGGCAGCAATATCCTTCATCACCTGTCCTTCAATCATAGTAAGTAGCCAGTGTTTTGAGGCAAAGATAAATTAAAACGGAGTTACGGGAGAAGGAGTAAGTTGTTTAGAAGTAAAAGAAGAAGTAAAACACTGTACCACCACAATGAAAATGAATTCAGGTTTTAAACTTCCTCTATTTTGTGCACTGAATAATATACCTGCATCTTATTCTTAACCACAGTTTCTGTTTTAGTTTGGCCCTTCGAAGCCATGATGGGGTACTATTAACCAATAAAATGATGTAGTAGTATCCATGCTGAAAAATTGAGCTTTTTCTCCCTAACACGTACCCATTTAATATTGGGTTTGAAATCAACCTAAAGTGTCACCTTTACCAATGGCATTCCTTCACTAGTTCAGCCTTACTGGGCTCTAACTTATCATCAGACCCAGAGACTTCATGCTACCTTTTGTCATATAAAGTCTTTACAGTAGGAAAATGACTTTGAATGGATTAACTTGGATTAATCTATTCAACTTCGATCCCTGAAGGCAGAAATCCCCATATCATGGAAGAGGATGTAATCCACAGCTTTCCCGGCCAATCTTCACCCTTTCCAAGATAGCCATGCCACCCTCTAACACTAAAAGGGTCTTGGTGACAAGGTGCAAAAATGCTTAGAGGAATTTCTGAAGACTGCGTGGGAGTCGCTTCTTCTTCGCTTCTCTCATTTAACAACTATTCACTTGCCAGGCACTAGGCTCTAAGGAGAGAGCTGAGAACAGATAGACGAAGTCTAGCTGGCCTGTAGTGCCAGCTACTTGGGAGGCTTGAGGTGGGAGGATCACGTGAGCCCAGGACTTCCAGGTTACAGTGAACTATGACTACGCCACTGCACTCCAGCCCGAGTGACAAAGTGAGAACCTTTCTCTAAAAAGAGAGATTGACAGTCTTTTGTTCATGGAGTTTATATTCTAGGGGGGCAGAGGGGCTCAGACCACAAGCAAATAACTAAATGCACAATGTAATTACTGAATGCTGCTTTGGGCACGTAACAACTACCACTCTTGGGAGCTACTGGAGCAGAGGAAAAGGCCATTTTCATCCTATCCTAGTAACCCACTTAAAGGAATACCACATTACAGAATGTTAACTGTGGACCCAGAGGTATTGCCTTGGAGTTTTGGGGCCAGACCACACGTGTCCAGATGTCTCCCTGGGCTTCCTGGCTGCTGTGTTCATTCAGTGGGTAGGCAGGCTGGAGAAACAGGCTGGAATGCATAAACATGCCAGTAGCCAGGGAGAACAGCATGCCCTGCCAGCTGTTGGTAGCTGGGGTGCTAAGGATTGAAGCCTGGGTACTAGCTGGACCTTATCAAAGGAGAGTGAAAAGATATCAAGTAAAATTCCTGAAGATTTGAAAAGGAGAGTCTTTTGTAGAGAAGCAAAGATATAACGACAAAATTTGATGCTTCAATTTTTCCTCTCATTTCTACAGTGGCAGATTAACACAAGTCAGGCAACACTGATTTGTACATTTCAGAAACTTAATATACTAAGGTTCCCACCTGAGATTGTCTATTTTATAGACCGATTCATGTGTCTAAAAATCTAACTAGGCCATAAAGAGCATAATAACACGCTTGCCATGGTTTTCTCTGCCAACACATTGCTCAGCATACATCAATGAGAACTTTGACCAATCAATCTGAATCTCCTTGAGCAAAAAGCCCATCTTTTCCTTTCAGACTAAAGCAGGGTATTAAGAAGGAAGCTTGAGGAAGAAAAGTGACCAATTTCAGTTGATGCAAGGAATCTTACGTATCCTATTCTTCCTGCATAGCAAGATACTATAATCCACGACTATCAAACCTGAGACAGCTAAAAAGCCTAGAAAAAGATTAGAGAAGAAAACAGAATTGAAAAATAATTCAGAATGACAGAGGCTATCTGCAGAGGCAAAGACTGGTAAAAGAAGAAAAGGGAGACAGAATAAAAGATAAACCAAAAAACCGAAATAAAAATAGAAGGGAATTCAAACATCTACACCAGATTATAAGGGAATATCCTGGAATCTAAACATCTCTTCAGGCGAGAATGTGTGTCAATGTGAGTGCCTGGCACATTGTTTTCCTTTCTCCTTTCTTTTTACCCAGTTTTAAAAGTGATTTTAAAAAATGCACTTTTGAAAGAACATCTTTTGCTAAGTGACTTAAACTGGATACATTCCTTGGATTACCAAGGAGGTTAAGGTCACATGTGGTGAAAAAGGGGCCTATCTCCTCTTTCCTTACCTGCGGTTCATTGAATACTTTTAAAAGCATTTTCCATCATGAATGAGGGGAAATGGAAGAAAAGAGGTGGTGACAATTATTTGCATTTTCCAAATGGACGGCATGAGCCTCCGGAGGGTACACGAGGTCACCAGCTTGAGCCCGCGGTGGAGCTGGAGGCGTATTTATAGCTGGCTGACTTCAGTCCAGTTGGGCCCTCGAGGCTCCTTATCTTATGCCGCTGGAATTCGCGGGCTCGCCGATCGCAGGAGGCCGGGTGCGCTGGCCATGGCGCTCCCGGATCGATGAGGAAAGCCCCTCTCCCCGGCAAATCCTCCGGGCCGGGGCGCCTCCACCACCCTGCCTGCGCCTCGGCATGCTGGCAAGGAGCCCGGGAAGAGCCGCCAGGAGCGGTGGGTGGGCGAGGAACGAATGCAATGTGACTACATTTTTATTTTCTTTGTCGCAACTACTACTACGACCTGGCCATCCCCCACCTTGGTGACTTGGTGCCTTCCCAGAGACCTGCTTATTTCACGCCAGCTCACTGGCGCTCACTGCAATGTGAGTGTCGGTCGGAGGAGGGGTTCACGCGAAGGAGCCCGCAAGAGTGGGGGGCCCTGATGGCCCGAGCGAGCGTCCGCGCTCCCCTCCGTAGCGTTCCGTCGCGTGCGCTCAACGGCGTCCGCGGGACCCGGCCCAGGCGGCGGCGGTGGGGCTGGCTCGTGGGGAGGGGCCGGTGGGCCAGCAGGGAGCAAAGACGCCCCTCCACTGCACCACCAGCAGCCCGGCGCCCCCTTGCCGGCTGCGGGCCAGTCTTCCCGGCAGCGGGGCGCCGGGCTCTGTGGACCCTTCGGGCGCTTCCGCCGCGAGCTCGGCTCCTTTCGTGTCCGGGGCGGGGCGGGGCCGGCGCCCGGAGTCGGGTGCGCGCGGCGCGGGCGGGCGCCCTCCCAGTGCGAGTGCGCCGTGCGAGGCCCGCGGACGCCCGCCCATCCCCCAAACCCCCGCTCCCGCGCCGCCCCCTCCCCTCCTAGCGAGAGTCGGCGGTAGCGGCGGCGGCTGCAGAGATTGGAATCCGCCTGCCGGGCTTGGCTAAGGAGGGAGTAGGGAGGAGGACCAAGGGCGGGCAGGAAGGCTTGGGCTCGGCGCGTCCGTCCGCGCGAGGCGAAGATCGCACAGCCCGCTCGAGGGGCAGCCGGGCCGGGGCCGCTGCAAGCCGAGGGCGGAGGCCGAGCCGGGCCCCGCTTTGCCCCGGCGGCTCGCCGCGCCCACCCGCTCCGTGCCGAGGGCTGGAGGATGCGTTCCCCGGGGTCCGGGTAAGTCCGGAGTGCAGTGCGGGCCAGGAGGGGCCGGCCGCAGCGGGGAGGCCGGCGGGGCTCGGGCGAAGCTGCGGAGGCGCAGAGTGCGCGGAGGACTGAGCCAGGGGCGGCCCAGCCCGGCCCCGCCAGCTCCGCAGGCCTCGGCGCGCGCTGGGCCGGGACCGCCCAGCCAGAGACCCACCGTTCCCCGCGCCGCTTCCCCCCGCCGGCCCCTCTTTTGTCTCCCACCCGCGGGTTGCAGGCCGAGTTTGGGGAGGCAGAGTAGGGGAAAGCCGTTCCTGGGACGCTTATGGAATCCTTAAATGGGAAAGGCGCTCACCTCCCCGCCTCGGAGCGGCGAGGCTGATATTCGTGATTTGGCTGCAGACACTGTGGCGAGGAACGGGGTAGAACAAAGTGAGCTTCGGGCGGGGGTCGAGCGGGAGGAGCGGCAGGCCCGCCCCCGAGTCCCGGGGGAACGGGCCCGGCCCCCCAGCTCCCGGAGCTGCTTCACCTGTTGTCCTGCGCGGCCTCTGCTCCGTGGTTTGGTGATTCCGCGCTTCAGTTTCGGAAAACTTTCTGCTGGGTTGCTTGGACCCTTTTTTCTCCTTCCAGACTCCTAGTGGAAATATTTGGCAAGGAAAAAAAAATGAGCTTGCGTCAGGGAAGAAAAATAATATGCTGTGTGTTAGGGTCTGGCGTTTGAGCCTGGTACTCTTTCATGCTCTCATATGTTTGAGTTTGGTCTAACTGCTGCAAGTTTTCTCTCTTAAGCAGTTAACAGACTGTTCAGAGTACATAGTATAAACTTGGCACCTGTGTTACGTCATTTAATCCTTATAACAATTCTGGTTTATTGTATTCCTCATTGTTTTAGAGGAAGAAACTGAGACTTAAAGAGGTCAACTTGTCTGAGGGAGCTGGGATTTGAACCCAGGAACATCGTATTCTGGCAAACAAGTTAGGGGAAGGAAAAAACCTGTTTGCAAACGCTTTTGCGTTTAGGAACGTTTTTCAGTTACTCGTATTTGAAATGATCGCTATTTTGTTCCTTGAGTTGAAAAGTATTGTATTTACTTGTAAGAGGAATTAAGCTTTGAATTAGAGCGTAACTTAATGCATCTCATTGTTTTCAGTTGTTGAAATAAAGAATGTGAACCAGAATTATTTAGATTTTTAAACTTGAAGCTAAAATATGGGCAGTTCTTTGATCTAGGAATGGGTTGAGTATGAAAGGCCGATTGAAATGTAGAATGCGTTTTTAGTAGAACCAGACTCCGTTCTTGTTTAATTTTTCCTCCATTCTTCGTGGAGCCCAGTTTAAACTTTTTCTACTTTCTTCACCTCTCCCCACCCTTTACCGAAGAGGTTGAGGTACCTAGCGAGAGCTCCTTCTCTAAATTCCTTCCGTCAGAGAGAAAATTTTTTTTTTGGTCTTTTTTTTAATAACCTTGGGGTTTTTTCCCTCTAATTTTCCTGCTTAGTGGAGCGTGAGTTATTTTGTCTGCTGTATTTGGGCTCTTAAAAGTACAAATGTGCTTAAGATTTCTTCAATTTACAAAAATCTTTTCTTAGGTCGGCCACCCTTTCAAGCTGCCTTGTTGCTGCTTTCCCTCTTCAAATCTTATTAACATTTTAAAAAGCTTATTCGTAACAAAAGTAACACATGGTCATTAAAGAACTGCAAACTGGGGCAACATTGAAATTAAAATTCAGTCATTCACAATCCATCTCTAGAGATTGCCAAGAGTAGTCTACTTTTCCTGCCTTTGCTTGGTTGGTGGCTGGCCACTCACTTCTTAACCCCTTGTTATCTGGATTTCACTTTCACAAGGAACTATAACCTAATCAATACATTTAAGCACCTTTTTCTAAATCCTTTCCTTGAGCTTTCTGTAACATTTAATATCGACTTCACATTCTTCAGATGCCTCTCTTTGGCTTTCATTCATCCATACATTGCATTTAAACTAATACTCAGGGTGCCAGGGAATAAGATACAACAGATCCTTCCCACATGGAGCTTAGTCTAGTGGAGAAATGCATATTGAAAAATAAAGTCTCTAGTTAAATATAATTGTGATTTTAATTAAGATGCAGAATATTATAAGAACTTCAAATGGAGACCTGCCTGCTTGTGGTGGACTGGGAAAGATTCCTTAAAAATGCTTTGTTGGGGGCCGGGCTTGGTGGCTCACGCCTGTAATCCCAGTAGTTTGGGAGGCTGAGGCGGGCAGATCACTGGAGATTGGGAGTTCAAGACCAGCCTGACCAAAATAAAGAAACCCTGTCTCTACTAAAAATACAAAATTAGCTGGGCATGGTGGCACATGCCTGCAATCCCAGCTACTCACTACTTGAAAGGCTGAGGCAGGAGAATTGCTTGAACCTGGGAGGTAGAGGTTGTGGTGAGCCGAGATTGTGCCACTGCACTCCAGCCTGGGCAACAAGAGTGAGACTCTGTCTCAAAATAATAATCATAATAAATGCTTTGTTGGAACCCAGGCAAATTTCGAAGGATAAGCAAAAGTTAAGTAGATGAAGAGGGGCCTTCTGTGACTTTAAACTGTTTCTCCTTTCCTCTTTAATGTGCATTCTTCAAGTTTCACTTTTCAGGTCACTTTTCTCTACACCTCTAGTCCCTTAGAATTATTGTTCAGGCCTTTCTGTCGGAATAATTCTCAATTCTTTGTTCTTTATTTCTCTTCTGAATCTTGTGTTTTTTTCAGTTGCTTTATGCATATCTGTACCTGATTGTTCTGGTCCAAACTGAGCTTCTTTTCCTTAGCAAACTTGTATCTTTGGTGTTCTTTATTTCTGTTGATGTCATACCAAACCCAAACCTTTTCCCATTGCTTTATATCTTGTTTGTAGCCGACATCTGTTGATTCTATTTTATAACTCTTCTGCTCTCTATTCCTGCTATGGGACAATTCTGAATTCATATTGGTATCATTGTAGTAGTCACCATTGGTGACTTACTACATTGACACATTGGTGTCACCGGTAGTGACTACTACTTTTTTCTGGAGAGAACTTTGAATAACACTTCATTTTTTTTTGGTCTCTGTTGCCCAGGGTGGAGTGCAGTGGCGGGATCTCGGCTCACTGCAACCTCTGCCTCCCAGGGTCAAGGGATTCTTCTGCCTGAGCCTCCTGAGTAGCTGGGACTACAGGCGTGTACCATGGTGCCTGGCTAATTTTTGTATTTTTAGTAGAGATGGGGTTTCATCATATTGACCAGGCTGGCCCTGAACTGCTGACCTTGGCCTTCTGAAGTGCTGGGATTATAAGTGTGAGCCACCGTGCCCGGCTTCAGTTTTTTTTAATAGCTGTTGGATTGTGTAGATTTTCTGTTTCTCATGTGAATTTTAATGTTTCATGTTTTTTTCAGACATTTATTTTCAAATCTAGTGTTATTTGGCTTTCACATAGTTCTCCGCCCCCACCCCCACCCCCTAACTCTGAATCAAGTTCTCATCCCGCTTGGACTAATGTTATGATTTTTTTGCCTTCGCTTTTCTCCTTTATCTAGTTTATCTTACACATTTCTGCCTAAATTAATCTTTAAGCTCAGTTCTTACCACTTCTCCACTCTGAAGTTTCCAAGGTCTTCCGTTAAATGCGATCTTTTCTGTGGTATTTGCCTCAGATTTAACTTGTTATTTTTTTTTTTGAGATGGAGTCTCGCTGTATCGCCCAGGTTGGAGTGCAGTGGGTATGACCTTTTAAAGCGTAAACTTTTTAAGTGTGATCTCGGCTCACTGCAATCTCCACCTCCTGGGTTCAAGCAATTCGCCTGCCTCAGGCTTCCAAGTAGCTGAGACTACAGGTGCATGCCACCACACCGGGCTGATTTTGGTTTTTTGTATTTTTGTATACTTCTTTTAGGCGGAGTTTTGCTCTTGTTGTCAAGGCTGGAGTGCAATGGCTCGATCTTGGGTCACTGCAACCCCTGCTCCCCCAGGTTCAAGCGATTCTCCTGCCTCAGCCTCCTGAGTAGCTGGGATTACAGGAACCTGCCACTGCGCCTGGCTCAAATTTTTTTTGTATTTTTAGTAGAGACGGGATTTCACCACCTTGGCCAGGCTGGTCTGGAACTCCTGACCTTGTGATCCGCCAGCCTCGGCCTCCCAAAGTGTTGGGATTACAGGCGTGAGCCACTGCACCCAGCAACAATGCCTTATTCTTATCTCTCAGTTTTTGCTCCCTGTGCATGTTCTCCCCTTCCTCCACTTCTCCTGGGTTGTTGCTTATACTATTTACTTGGACTGCATCTATGGCCAATTGTCATGTTTCCAAGTCTTACCCATTCTTGAAGGTCCTTTTCAAATTCCACCTTTTTTTTTTTTTGGCATACAGTTTTTAAAATCTAATATTTTATTGTATGTGTTTTAAAAAATTAGCTTTTCTGGGTTCAGTGGCTCAAGTGTGTATTCCCAGCACTTTGGTAGGTTGAGGTGGGCAGATCACCTGAGGTCAGGAGTTCAAGACCAGCCTGGCCAACGTCGTGAAACCTCGTCTCTACTAGTAAACTACAAAAATCAGTTGGACGTCGTGGCAGGTGCCTGTAATCCCAACTACTTGGGAGGCTGAGGCAGGGGGAATTGCTTGAACCGGGAAGGCAGAGGTATAATATGTGCAAGTTAAAAGTGCAGTTCCATGTTTGTTCTTTTCTAGCAGGTGTTTTTTTTTTTTTTTTTTTTTTTTTTTTTTTTGACAGAATCTCCCTCTGACAGCCAAGCTGGAGTGCAGTGGCATGATCTTCATCTCAGCTCACTGCAACCTCTGCTTCCCGGGTTCAAGCGATCCTCCTGCCTCAGCCTCCCAAGTAGCTGGGATTATAGGTGCCTACCAGCATGCCTGGCTAATTTTTGTATTTGTAGCAGAGGTGGGGGTTTGCCACGTTGGCCAGCCTGGTCTCGAACTCCTGACCTCAGATGATCCACCTGCCGTGGCCTCCCAAAGTGCTGGGATTACAGAGATGAGCCACAGTGTCTGGCCTTTATAGCAGTTTC